AGAACACTCATAGCATTTTAAGTAATACTGGTACAAGAAACTAAGAATGAGGTACAGGAGATCGTTTCACTAGAAATCAAGGACAAGGGCATGAGAGTAAAGGTCAATCAAGAGTTTTTGAACTTACTAGACATGAAGTTCAGGCCTCAAATGTGGTGGTCACATGTATTCTTTCAGTTTGTTCCTTTGATGCACATTCTCTGATTGATCCAGGATCTACCGAGTCCTATGTGTCATCATACTTTTCTTTGAGATTTGATACACAACCAGAGATATTGAATCATCCTTTTCTTGTTTCTACTCTTGTGGGAGATTCTTTATTTGTTAAATATTAGTATCGTGATTGTCAGATTAGAGTTGAGGTTAGGGATACCCTAGCTAACCTAATTGTACTTGATATGAATGACTTTGATGTGTTGATGGTCATGTATTGGCTATCTCCTTGCTATGCTACTGTTGATTGTCATGCAAAGATCAAATTCAAAATACCCAATGTTCCTATATTTGTATTAAAAGGGGGCAAGTCCCTGAGGTTGAAAAAATCATATTCCTTGTGACGTCTCTGAGATTACTACAGAAAGGTTGTACGAGTCTTTTAGCTATTGCAAGGGATACAAAAGAAAGAGCACTTAGCTTTGAGAAGATACCAGTTGTGAATGAATTTTTTCTGATGTATTTCCTGAGAATTTGCCTGGATTACCTCCTATATAAGAGATAGAATCTGGTATTGATTTGTCTCCTAATACTTTGCCAATATTAATACCCCCATATCGTATGGCACCAATAAAACTAAAGGATATAAATCAACAGTTGCAATTCTTACTATATAAGAGTTTTATCCGAGCAAGTATATCTCCATGGGGCACACCAATATTATGTATAAAGAAGAAAGATTGGTCTCTAAGAATGTGCATTGACGATAGACAGTTGAATAAGGTAACAATACATAATAAGTATCCTTGGCCTCGTATAAAGACCTATTTGATCAATTACATGGGGCATTCCACTTTTCAATGATTGATCTTTGATCTGGTTATCATCAACTCAGAATCAGAGAGGATGATGAGTCCAAGACAACATAAAAAACTCGATATGGGCAGTATGAGTTCCTAGTGATGTCGTTTGTATTAACTAACGTTGCAGATGTATTCATTGATTTAATGAATAGAGTGTTCAGGCCATTTTAAGATAGGTTTGTGATAGTGTTTATTGCTGATATCTTGGTATACTCTCGTAGCCGGGAAAAACATGAGAATTATCTAAAGACATTGTTACAGACTTTGCGAGAACATAAGCTTTATGCTAAGTTCTCAATGTGTGATTTTTGCTAGAGTCAGTAGCATTTTTGCGGCATGTGGTGTCCAACGATGGGATCAAGGTGGATTCCAAAAAGACAGAAGTTGTGCAAAAATGCCCTGGACCTACTTGACCTACAGAAATTCGAAGCTTTTTGGGTTTAACAAATTACTACAGGCGTTTTGTGCAGGATTCTGCAAAATAGCATCTCCATTGTTGACACAAAAAAATGCCAAATTTCAGTTGACAAAAGAATGTGAGCAAAGCTTCCAGAAACTAAAAATGTGTTTGACAACATCACCCATATTGTCGTTACCATCAGATTCTGGGGTTTTACGGTATTTTGTGATGCTTTGAGAGTAGTTTTTGGATGTGTTCTTATGTGAAATGGTTGTGTTATTGCCTATGCTTGAAGGAAGATAAACAAAGTTATCCTAAAAATGATTTGGAGATGGTTGCAGTGATATTTGCTCTTAAAATTTGTAGGTATTATCTATACAGTGAAACTTGTGAGATATATACTGATCATTAGAGCTTGAAGAATATTTTTTAGTAAAGAGATCTCAATCTTCGGCAACGGCGATGGATGGAGCTGCTCAAGGATTATGATTATGTTATTATGTATCGTCCTTGAAAAGATAATGTTGTGGTTTATGCATTGAGTAGGAAATATATGGGCAATTTAGCACATATAGATCCTGAAAACAGACAGTTGGCAAAAGACGTGCAGAAAGTTGAAGGCACAGGTGTCAGATTTAGGGTGGGAGGTTAAGAGATATCAATAGCTTGTTTCCAATCCAAATTTTAATTAGTGGTGCGCATTAAGACTTCTCAATATGAGGATGAACAAATTTGTAGATATCGAGATGAGGTCATAATTGGTAAAAAGTAAGAAGATGATACTTGATTGTGCTGGTATGCTTCGACTAGCTAATTGGTTGTGTGTACCAGACATAAGTGGTTAAGACAACTTATTCATGAAGAATATCACAACTCTAGATATACTATGCACCCTGGTTCACTAAGATCTATCATGACCTGAAGCAATTGTATTGGTGGGAAGGTATGAAGAAACATATTGCTAATTTTGTTTCCACTTGTTTGACTTGTCAATACGTTAAAGTGGAGCATCAACGACCTGCAACTTTACTACAAGAGATCCAAATTTCAGAGTGGAAATGGGAGAGAGTCACTATGGACTTTGTGGTTGGTCTACCCCGAACTATTAGAGATTATGACTCTGTATGGGTAATTATAGACCAACTAACAAAATAAGCACAATTGTTATCGGTAAAGACAACATATAGTGGAGTGAGATATGCCTAGATATTTATGAATGAAATTGTTCGACTTCATGGAGTGCCTATATATATCATATCTGATAGAGGGTCACAATTTACTTCACGTTTTTGGAGATCCTTTAAAGAAGCTATGGGTACTTGAGTAGTCCTTAATACTGCATTCCATCCATAAACAGATGGAAAGTCTGAGCATACTATACAAATCTTAGAGGATATGTTGAGAGCTTGCTTTCTTCATTTTTGAGGTAGTTGGGATGCTTACTTGTCTTAAGCTGAATTTGCGTACAACAATAACTTTTTATCCAGCATTCAGATGGATCCATATGAAGCATTGTATGGAAGGCAATGTCGCTCTCCTATAGGGTGATTTGAAGTTGGAGAGACTATTTTGTTGGGACCAAACTTAGTACAAGAAGCCATGGATAAAGTCCAATTGATTAGGCAGAGATTGCTTGCTCAAAGCAGATAGAAGTCTTATGCGGATAAGAGAATAAGATATCTAGTCTTCACGGATGGGAAAAAATGTTTTTCTATGAGTTTATCCCTTGAAAGGTGTGATGCGGTTTGACAAAAGAGGTAAATTTATTCCGTGATATATAGAACCATATGAGATACTTCACCGGGTAGGAGAAGTGGCGTATCATTTGGAACTTCCTCCCAATATGTGTTTTATACATCAAATGTTCCATGATTCCATGTTGAGGATGTATATCTCAGAGTCCTCTCATATACTTGAAGCACCGACTATATCAATGGATGAGAACATAACATATGAAGAGGAACTTGTGGCTATTGTGGACAAACAAGTAAGAAGGTTGAGGTAAAAAGAAATTGTGTCTGTAAAGGTCTTATGGAGGAACATACCACTGAAGAAGCTACTAATGAGTTGGAAAAGGAGATGCTAGAAAAGTATCCTTTCTTGTTTCAGTCCATAGGTATACATCTACTTTAAATCCGTGTGGGGAAAATGTAATACCGCGTATATGTCATTTTTCTTTTAAAAAATTAGATTTTTTTAAAAATAATAGTCTGAAATCTCTAACAGAAGCAACAAGTTTTTCCGCAACTTCAGTGATTAAAATAATAATTAAAAAATGTAGGACTTTGCTGATTCTACGGTAACCAAAGAGAAAATAAATTAAAAATTTAAAGCCTTAATTTTAAACTAAAGAGAGAAGTGGAAGAAGAAGAAGAAAGAGAATAAGGTAAGTTTCTTAACGTAGTTTAAAGGTTGAATTCTTATTTTTCATGACTATATGATTGAAAATTGGGAAGTTGAGAAACATGGGTTTAGCAGAAATAGAGCAATTTATTTCATTCTTATGAACAAGTAAATACAGTCAATGATTTGAACAAGAAACTTTGGTATTGGGCTTATATGCAATAAAAGTATTTAGGCAATAAAGTTAGGTTGATATATTTACAGTGAGAATTGACAAGGAAGAGACGATTTTGTGTGATTAAAGCACTAATTAAGTCATTGGGCAGATTTTAAATCAACCATAAAACATCTAGGCCTAAGGTTTTATTGATATAGTATGAATTACCTAAACGAAGGAGTTAACACTAAATTGTTATGAATGTATTTATAGTTTGGCCAAAGGAATTTATACAGACCATTCTAGTGAAGAGCTTGGTGTTTCAACACAAGTATTGTGAGTAGTATTATTACCACAATTGATGTTTTATAATTTGCATGATTTTCATATAGTTTATAAAGTAAAGGTGTTACTGAACGTTTTAAATTTGTATGTGGGAAAAGTCTCTTACTGGATATGTTATTACTGGATATGATACTAAAAAGATTATTTGATTTGAGATAGTCTCATTCTTACAAGATATGATTTCTGTTAAAAAAAAGGTTTTGCACTCACTTGAGAAATAGTAATTTGATAAGTGATGGTTGAACTTTGAAATGATATGATTTGATAAGATTTAAATGCACTAATTAATTTTGAAATACTTTTACTAATTTCAAGAAGAATATATATGGGAGTAGACCTTGATGTATCATGTATCTAACAGTGGGATCGTTAGCCCTGGTGCACCTTGTAGTTACTGATTTCTGATAAAGACCTTGCTAATGGGATGTGGAAATAGTATTCTGTATTGATATCCCTCGATTAGGGATCTACTTATATGAATATTTAACTCTGCTACGAGGAGTTCACCATTATTGATCACTCCTCAAAAGAAGACCACTCTGATTACATGATTCATCCTTGAAAACCTCCCAGAAATAAGATTGTATATGAAAATGTTCTTTTACTAAGTTTGCTATTAAGTATTTTCACTTATTATTCTTATATGAGGCATATAATATTAAATATTGTCATTGTTTTTGAAAAAGCATTATTTCATCATTATGACTATTACCCTAGCATATTTTCTAATTTGTTCATCATTAAAATGGTTGTAGTTCAATATTATTACTCACTGAGCTAGCGTCTCACTCCTCGCTAATTCTTTTTTACAATGAATTCAAGTGGTATTGAGGATGATATCATTAGCTAAATAGTGAGATTTGATTGCATATGGTGAGACCCACATTTCTCGTGTAGCAAGTGAACATTTTATCTGCTATGTTTATTTAGTTTCTTTAAACTCTTAGAGTCGCTCCATTTGTCCATTCTTATTTATAGTCAAGATATTATTTCAAATTGCAGTCAAGTGACTCATTTTAACCTTTTTTTTCATATTTCGAGATGAATTGATTTATTTATGTGACAATTAGATCAATGATGGATATTATGTTGTAATTTATAGTTGTTATTAGTTTTGTTATGGATGTCTGAGACAGGGAAAATTTTTGATAGACATAAAAACAAAGGAAACTTTGCCCGATTTTCTGCAGAATACGATAAGGATTGCTTTGGGATTTTCCCCCTTAGCGCCGGTCATGATCCTTAATTAAATCGTGAAAGTAGTTTTATTTAATGATGTTTTCTCCTTCTTTTATTTTTTTAACTTTTAATGCTTTTTTTTACGTTATTAACATGAAAAGAATCACCTACTACAATTTAACATCATTTCAATTTATTAAACTTTAATTATACCTATAATCATCAAAGAATATGACAATAAGAATAGATTTGGACAATAGTGCTAATAGGAAATAAACTAAGTTTTTTTTATAACAATTTCGCTCTTAGTCTAATGATATAAAAACTCTAAACATAAAGTTGATATGTACATCTTTTATATCCCTTCATGGATTGCTTTGAAACCCGATTTATTTTCATTTCAAGATTTTCTTTTCTTTTTCTTTTTCTTTTTATTTTTCTTTTATTTTCTCTTTTTTTTATTTGTATGGAGGACTTCCATTTATCTTAAAACCCATGGGTTTGCGATACTTTTCTTGCATTTCTTGACTTTTCCTTTTCCTTCTTATCACACCCCCAACTTAGGCTTTTGGCCTATGTTGTCTATTCACTTATATAACATCTCAAAAATATTATAGGTGATAGATCACGTAAGATCTAGGTTTCATAAAGTTTTATTTACAATGAAGAGGTAAGGCTCAAAGGTTGTGAAAAAGAGTTTCACACACTCACGGGTAGGCCACAAAAGAGGTATATGTCAAACTTTTCTCACACTCTTAAGAATATCCTTAGATCATATCATGAGGATACCTTTCTAAATCAATCAGACTAACCAGGGAAATTCAAGGTTTATTCATGCAAGATTCAAAGTAAGCTCATCACACAAGGCAGTGACACTTAAGTCAAAAAGACAAAACACTTCTTCTATTGTGCAATGGTCATTGCAAAATAATCAATTCAATAATTGGATAATCACAACGAGATGCAACGAGTTCACATATTGCCTATGTAACTTCATTTGTTCTAATTGTAGCCGCACATTCATGTTTGTTCTATTGATATTAGTGGTTAAGTCATCAGTATTAATCAAAATCGAGACATAAACTTTTACATGAACAACCACTTTCAAAACAAGAAGTTGCAAAATTTCAAAAATGAAATGTTTCAGAAGGGTTAAAATTATTATGAAAGTAGGACCCAAAAGATAGTCATAAGATCAAACATTTGAGAAAGCAATTTAAATAGACACTCCACCTATGTACTAAAAGACACAAACATTTAACAAAACTAACAATAAATAAAGGTGGACTTCACCCTACCACAAATAAATGCATTTGTCCTGAAGTACAGTTCATATGATACACGAAAGTTGATGCAAAGTGATACTGATAAGAGAGTAAGGACAGAAATCATGTTCAAGTTGTTGTTTTATTTGTTGGTGCATTTCTCCCATTGGAGACATTAGGGGGTTTACTCATTATAGAAACTAGTATTGCTTCCCATATAAATGTTTGTTCCGTCTCCGCTAGTTCTTCTTAGCAACATTAGATGTGTCCTCGAAGATGTCCTTTTTTATCGAAGTCTTTGGTTCAAGCTTAGTCACTTCTCCAGAAATAAAGATGGAATTACCTTGTTGTACCTCACTTTGCATTATCTTGATCACATCCTTGAATGTTGCAATCTTAGCGGTGCTTCTTTTGTTGCATTCGCACACTGCTATTCTTGTATGAAGTTCATGAACAGTTGTTTTTAGCGCTGTAACAACATTAGTCAAAGTAGTCTGGATCATTCATGCAATAGAGGTTTATAGGTCATCAATCAGAAGATCTACACACTGAGTAAGTTGCTGAATTCGGTAAATCATGACTTGTGTGATCTAAAACTGAGGTGCAATGTTAGCGGTAGGTTAATTTTTTATTGTAGAGGGAACTGACCATCTTGTATCAGTTGGATGGGCTTTTGACACTTTTACCTTAACCTGGTTCTCCTCCTGATCCTTTAGGTATTATTAGTCAATTCACTTGATGTTGGTGGATAATATAGGAGTGATTTTCATATCCTTCTAAGCTTTTTGAGGTACTTGAGCTTGCTTGCACAGTTTAGTGATCAAGACCGGGAAATTAACAGAAGTTTGGCGTTGTTTTGAGCATATGATGATTTTAGATGCTATAATATCCCCAAAGCTGAGTTGAATCCTTTCAATAATGCAGGCTAGACATGCAGATATATTCATTTTGTGAAGGCATGATTGAGCTATTGATAAAACTATACAAATATTGTGTTGCTACATTTAATGTTTTCTTTTTTGTAGCTGTGCTAGGTCTTAATCAATTCGAAGTATCATCTGAAATTAGGGGAGCTAACAAATTTCTCATGTTATCTGATGTTCCCATTTTGGTTTGGTGTTTGCATACATCCTCCATGTTTTTTGGAAGACCTAAAATAACATAAATACTGTCGGGATGGCACAGGAACACCCTCCCCGGTATTATCACAAAGTCAACTGGCCTGACTGTTTGTATGTGTTTTCTTCTAAATAGTATCATGGATTTTTAAGACGCGTAAAATTCTTGAACTAAACTTGGAATATATGAGCCACGAGACATAGTGAAAAGTTGGAAGTGATGATACCTCAGTATGCTCATAATTTCTGGATATCTATCAATCACCCCATCTATGGATAAGAGTTTCTCTTCAAGAATAATTCTTAACAATCAACTTTTTTTCTGTTTTTGATGTTTCTTGTAGGGGACTTTGCAATTTTTTTCCATATTTTCTTGCAACAAGTTTCTTCATGTTGACTTTTCTAAGTGTATTTGTTCACTTGCGTACCTCCAGTTGCTTTCCATTGAGGCGACATTAACTTTCTTGCAACTTCAGATCTTGTCATACCTACAACCACAAGTATACTCAAATGTTGTTAATAATGTTGAACTGGGTTTTGGTTGATATTTCAGCTCACTCAAACTGGAGAACAGCAGATATGATTAGGTAGACAAAATTCAAGATGTCAAATATTGCAATTTAATATGCATTTATGAGTTAATCGGTTGATCGCTCAATAATTGGTATGTTTGCTGAGTGTCCCATCTTACCAGATCTGCTCCGCTAGGTGACTTGTTGCTCTTTTTTATTCTAATTTCTCAAGATCTATCCTGCAACCCTTTGAAATTAAGAGTTTACGAATGCTCTTTTCAACCCTTAGTTGGGTTCACGCAATCGTTGTCCAGGATACTCAGATTTCTTTTCATTCTCATATCATGAAAATTGGACATACCTTACTTGGGAAAAATATATCTAAAAAGGGAAAGTATCATAATTGATGGAGAGTTATAAAGAACTAACCTTTTTTATTGAGCTGGTGAGAATTATGACAATAACAGCCAGATAGATCTAGACTCAAGCACTAATTACTTAGCTAAAAATAGTTACGAAATCCAAGAGCTTTGCAGAGACTAAGCAGGTGTGATTTTGTGAAAATCCAGAATGGCAGTAATGAAAGGGTGGAGGATTAGAGGTAACGATTTTATACAAGTTATTCAGATCTCATCTAGTTGGCGAAGTAAAGTGACTTTCTACCCATTTACATGGAGGTATGACAATTGAATCTTTTCTTCTCCAAATCGTACAGAACCTTCAGGTGATTTGAAAAACCAATACGTGTACATTATTACAATCGTCAATCAAGTTAGCGCTTAACCAACAAAATTTGTGTACGTTGATGCATTTCTTTGAGAATTCCTCCACTCATGAATCTACAATAACCAAACGCCAAAGAAGATACTAGAAATTCTGACAGGGTTTTGAGTTTCTTTCCAAATATTGCCTTAGTTCCCGTTTTGGTGTTTACCACACCACCAGTATGTGTTTCTCTACTTCTTTGCTAGTGGAGCATCATCGACTCTTGACCTATTATATTTTCAAACACTTGGATCACTTTTGAATGAGACAAAATCACTAGTTTTATCCCTTCAATATCTCCTTTCAGGTCCTACAATACTTCATCCTTTTTAGTTACCTTGAGCAAAGTGGTTGAATGTAATTTGTCAATGTGTTTTGCCTCACTATCTTCGAGATTTCTTCTTTCATAAGGAGGTATATACCTATATTTTTGCTTGTATTGACCTTGAATCATTTTCATCCTTTCCTATATTATCCATCTAGGCTATCAGAGCGTCTAGCATGAAGTCATTCGCTAGTTTAAGTTTCATCTTAGGGCCCGTTTGGATGGGCTTGATAAAAGCAGCTTTAAAAAAGTACTTTTGAAAGTGCTGAAACTTATTTTTAAAATAAGCAGATATGCGTTTGGATAAAACTGCTGAAGTTAAAAAAAATTGTTGATGTGTTTGGCAAATAAGTGCTGATAAACAACTTTCTAAATCAAAATGTCTGAAATACCCTTAAAAGTTGTTAACATTATAAAGTTAATTAATTTATATTTTACAGCCATATATAATTATATTTTGCTATTATTCACATATTTCTTTCTCAACACAAATTATTTATAAGAGGAATATAAACTTATTAAAAGATTTTAAAGATATATAATTTGAATAGATCAAAGAACAATTTAAGATTTTATTTTAGTTTCATCCATAGGTAATAATAATTGTCTATCATTTGCATATTTCTTTATTATCACAAATTATTTATAAGAGGAATATAAATTTTTATTTAAGTTATATGTTCAACTTATTTTACATTTTAATAATATATAATTTGAATAGATCACTTGAAATATTTAAGAGTTATTTTATTTTCATTCATTAGTAATAATTGTCTATCATCCACACGTGAAAAGGGAAAAATGGAAGAAAGAGATGTTAGGGTTATGTGGGTAATTTGGAGATTGTATAAAAATATTAAGGGCAAAAAGGTAAAAATGTGGTTAACTTAAAACAGCTTATAAGCAAAAAAAAAGAAGAAGAAGCACCCCTACACCAGCTTTTAACTTTTGGCTTAAAATATGTTTTTTTAACTTAAAATAAGTTATTTTGAGTATTGCCAAACAGCTAAATAAGTAAAAAACCAGCTTTTAAGTCAGCTTGACCAGCTTTTATGCTGAGCCAAACAGGCTCTAGTCAAGTCATTGAATAGTTGCACTACTATGGCATATGATTAGTTTGCTAGGCCACCCGGAGTAAAACTGTCAACCATTTTCTTTGACCCAAAACTGAGACCTCGGTAAAAACAATATGTTAGTATCATCTCGGGAATACCATTATTCTGATATTCAGTGATCAACACTTTAAATATGATCGAAGATTGGTGAATCCTTTCACTTTCCATTTGTTTGAAGGTCCAGATTGTATCTTTCTTGATGATTACCTCTACTGTAGATCATTCCATCATTTTACTAACACTAGCACTCATTCTTTCTGAGATATTCATACAAAGAATGACACCTGAGTAACCGCTAAATTAGAGGAAACTACACTACAAACAACTAAAAATAATAACTAACTACAATTTCACGTGATACCACACCCCAGTAGCGAGGCCATTTTGATGCTTCAATATGTGTATATTTAATATTTCATAATCAAGGACACTAACCTATAGTTTAAACTTTTAAGAATTAGATCTACTAAAGTAACCCAACCAAGGGTTGTAGTGTGTCCCAAGGAAGTGGTAGTTAAACTAGTAGTTACTTAGAATTCCATTCTAAATAGTGATAGCTCAATATATTTTCGAATCAAACACAAATTAAATTTAATTTGTGACACCAAAGTGCCAAATATAAAGAAAAGGGATTTTCCACAAGTAGTAAAATAGCAAATATAAAGGATAAAACAAGTATAAGAGAGAGTTTTTGGGGTATGACCTCAATATATTTGCACACAAACTATTGGGTACATGCTTTCGATTGGAAAATTCGCAAAACAACGGTGACTAGGCTAAGCTTAATGTGGAAATAAGTTTCCGCTCGGGCAACTTAACCCATATAATTTGGATACCTCTCGGATACCCACTCGTCTAAACGAACAAGCCTACGCCTTAACCACACCCTTAACATTTGGTAGAGGGTGCTTGGATATGGTACTAGGACTCACCCTCTCAGGCTGAACCTCATGTCAAGTCATTCCTTAGGCCATAAGTCTAGTGGTCTTAGTTTTGTGACCTCCCTCTCATGCAAGTTGAAAAAACATTGGTGGTTTTGTTTTTCAAATAAAAAACCCATTAAATTAAACTTATTAGCAAGCAAGACTCGACAATAATTGTCGCACTCCGAGCTACCCCCAAGATGCGGACATGGAACCTGGGACCAAAGTGATCCCAAGCTAACCCCGTTGGCATGATCATGAGCATACTAAAGATAATAAACTAAATGTGGAAGCTAAATCAAAACATATAGTGAAAAGATGGGATACACCTATATTCTATAACTTAGATATTTGAAAACAACGAGTTAATACAAAGAAAATATTTACTCAATACTGAGCTGAAACTAACTATGCCTGAAATGAGCCTCTAACTCACTAGAATTGTTGGGACAAGCCCCACCCAAGTATAGTAAAAACTGAAATTAGATAACTAAAAGACTGAAATGAACTCATGACTATTGTCTTGGGAGAATAAGAACTCACCACTGAATCTGCTTAATTGGAGATCGAGAATCGATCTATGCGTGATGGTATTGAGCATGTAAGATAGAGTAAAGCAGAAATAAAACATAACTGAACAAAAATAAAAATAAGTATAATAATTTGAACATGATATACTGAATTCTGAGCTAACTACATGCAATGACCAAATTTATGACATGCTGAGACTGAGTAATAACTGAACTGTAAATATGGTCGATAAATTAGAGTCCGACTGATCTATGGGAGCTTTTAATAACCAATAATAAAACCACATGCGTTAAATGTGGAGTCCGGTGTATACGCCCCATCAAGAGGACCCAATATACCCTGCCAGATATATAAAGGCATGCTGGCATGATCACGAAAGTAATTTCCCACAGAGGAGACTTACAACCTACTTGGATTGTAGTTATGGGACTAATTGGGTACGATAAAACCTAGTCCAACTCGGTATTATGCTACTCCTAATGAATTATGTAATTAACTTATTATGATTGAGTTTCTGTAAATACTGAATAATTAAAACTAAACATGCAAATTGAGAATGCAATAATTAATCTGGTAATTATGCATTTATAACTAAGGCATGTATATATATATGAAGGAATTGAAATGCCTGACATTGCATGTGGAATTAAGAACTAAAGAAATACATAGCTAGGGTTCTGAAATTCATGAAATAAACTGACTAATAACTTTACAATCTAATTTGAAGCATATATTTAACTAATTTATGATGATGTGTTTTAATTCTAGAATCCTTCGGTTTAAACATGATAAAAGAATCAAGAACTGACTGAAAACTAGGGATCTCATGGGTGAAAGGAACCCATTAGTGAAATCCCACATAATTGGTGATGAAATCCACAAAAAAATATTTAGATTTTGGGGCAGGAACTGTTGGAACCTTGTTGCGTTCTTAAACTAGGGTTCTTGACATTTTTGTCATTTCTTGCTTTTAATTTTCTATGTTTTGATTTATGATTTTAACATAGATAAGTTTTAGTTATGTTTCTATGCTTAAACTGACTAAAATATGATGATTTAGGGTCAAAATGGCGTATCTTAGGGTTTAAACAAAGTGAGAAAAGACCAAAAGATCCCTGATTTGATTGTTGTTGGACCAAATTACGACCTGGACTAACGGGCCGTCATTTAATCGACGGTTTGTCGTTTACGTCCATAGGTTGGGTTTGTTCGATAGGCCTTTACTAAAACGGGCATAAATTTTTACTCAATGGTCTGATTTTAGCTAACTAGGTGGCTGTTGAAAAATAATTCAATTATCTATCCTTTAATAGGTTATGTGAAACCTAATTCATTTCTGGGATAAGATTTATAACTATTTTATGTTGACACAACTGCATTTCCCCTCTAACTATCTACTAATTTCCACTTACGGTCATACATACGGTTCGTAGGTCCATCTACAGACCATGATGGTAAATTTTTGTTTTTATCAGCAAGTAAGTAAATGGGGTTTT